TCAAAACATTATTCAGATAGGTTCTAGTTCTTACTAAACAGTCCAAGCAACGGAGTTCTTGATATTATAGGCGAAAATCATTATATGGGCCAAGTATTTCAACTACTGACCCATGTGGACATATCTTTGAAAGACTTTTATTTTTTTGACATTTTGAAGCTCGTGAATTTTCTATCGAATGGTATATTTTTCGTAGTGACCAGTTGAGAAACGTTGATTAATCACGCATAGTGCCTTTCCTTTAAAAAAATTGCAAGGCAATTTTACCTTTCCATTTGTAAAAAAGAAATCTATTTTTCATCTTTTGTACTGGAGATGGTTTTAATAAATAACACAAGTAATAATAAATACGTCACTCTGTGAAACATCACATTCTTATTGCGAAACAATTTGTTTCTTTTCTCACATAAATCCGAATTCTTTTACAAATATTGTGCTTGGTTTACCTTTGGCGTGTGAGGAAGATTGCATGTTGCAATCGAAATGCCTAGATAATTGTTGATTGTGAATAAAACTTTACGAAGACAAAGTATATTTTAATAAGAAAAATTGCAGATATATATTGTTAGACTTTGAACAGTGCAACTTTCTTGGTGATGAAAAGATATTGAGATGAAAAAGAGTTTAAAATTAAGTTGGAGGAGACACACACACACGATTTACTTATAGAATATGCGTATATAAGTAATAAATAAACGAGAAGGTGTCGTAATAGCCTTTTTCTTTATGTTTATGGTTTTAGTTTAAATTGGATGTTCAGTACGAAGACAATGATCGTCTTTAAATTCATATTTTAATACAGAAAAATCAGCTGTAGCAGCTTCAACAATCAACTGCAGACGATTCAGGTTAGACTAAGAAATGGGTAACTTCGGTTTAAGGCTGATCGGTTGCGTTTCAATTTCAATTCGGAGCGGCTTAGGATTAATCTGATTTGATGTCTGTTACATGTGGTTTTTGCACCTGTAGTATAACATATTTGGTAACACCATACCAATTTGACAACATACAGTGCAGAGGCATGACTTATATCCCAATCAGGATAAAATCCTGATCGGCCTATATTATTATCCCGATTGGGCTACAAATCCTGATCGGGATAATTTGTCAGTCTATATAATCAATCAGTCATTTTTCTGGCCTCCACTTAACAACTTCAGAACGAAGAGAGATAGAGACCTGCAGTTTTCAGCATTTTGTAAAGGAGGCTTTACTGCATCTTTCGATATTTGGGGATTTTTATGAATCGGATTTCCAGGTGGTGTACCTGACATGTGAAAAAGTAGAGGTTGCCATGTCTTAAGTGAAGCTTAAATGTCTTGAGTGAAAAGTTAAAAGTTTTTAGCGAAAAAATTATTTTGCCTTTGCTACCATCAGGACGATCGTATTTACTTTCAATACATTTCGAACATGTTTAGTAATATAGCCCGATCGGGATGCAACTATATCCCGATTCGAATCTTGATTATATCTCGGTCGCGATTTATATAAATCATGACTCCGCGCTGGCATATCTGAAAAGTTATTATTCGTAGAAGAAGAAATTATTTTTTTCTTTCGTACGTTCACCTATTTGAATAACCGTTATTAATATCATTTATTCATCATACACGTCCTATATTCGGATAGAACTAGTAGATTTTCCATATGAAGATTAAACTGACGTCACTTTGAATAAAATAGAACAAATAATAAAAATCGGTGAGATAATTGAGAGACAAAGGAAAGGCACGAAAACGTTATGATAGCAATGAAATTTGTCGGTATCTAAATGATCAAAAAGAAGCGTATCTAAAATAGTGGCAAACGTTTCTCTCCTCTAAGACAGTTTTATCTATCTTTGATTTTAATATACCATTGAAAAGCAAGAGAGTTTCCCAATAAAGACAATTTTTCAAAAATCAAGTTATTAAAATTAAAAGAAATAATCAGGTAGATGGGAAACTTTAGTTACACAGTCATTAAAAAAGGAGCAAGGAAAAGCGGTAAAATCAATATATAATTAAAATAACCCGGATATTACTATGCATATAATTGTTTTTGTAAAAGAACGATAGTGCCATAATTATTTCCTCTGGCATTTCGTTACTGTCATTATGATCTGCATGAAAAAATGACTATTTGGCGAGTTGCTCGAGTTTCGCGACTAGATCAGCAGAGAAGGTGCCCTCTGCTAGCTTCTGACGCACTTGTTTGAAGATTGCGTCCCATTTGGACTGCTGGTCAAGCGTAAGCGTAACTACTGTCATCTTACTTGTCAGGCGGGTGAATGCAGCATTATCTTCATCGCGAATACGCGTGGTGAGCGCATCGGCCGCTACTTTGCCGGTGTCTAGAATGATTTGGCGAAGGTCCGGCGTCAACGTATCTAGTCGTTTCGATGAGATGACCAAAGCTCCAATAGCCATGGCATTCACGTTCCCATCGATGTAATTGAGTTTAGACGACCATTGGAACTGTTCAGCAACAAGTGAAGGTGCGTTGACGATGTTTATTGCGCCCGAATTGAGCCGCGGAAGCACCTCAGGAATATTGAGTGGCACAGGTGTTACGCCACCAATGACTTGGTATAAGATCATCTCCATAGGATCGTCACGCCATACGTAAGGCTTCTTGGATTGAAAGTCATCTGGCGTCCTTACTGCAAATCCCTTGGAAAATCGATGTACAGCGCCAACATCGCCCCAGCCAAGGATACTGAAACCCGCATTTTTTGTGCCATTCTCAAAATCCGCCTTCATCGCTTTGCGTGCAATGTCCAGCTGGCTCCAGGTTTTGAAGAGCCCAGGCATTTGTAGCGCTAAGATTGGCCTGTAGATCTTACTGAGACCAACTGCTGTAACACCAGCACCATCCAGCTGACCAGCTTTCATCTTGCCGATCATTGCGGCCTCATCACCCTGTTGACCGTTGTAGAAAAATTGTAGTTCCAACTTGCCATTGCTCTTTGTCTTCACAGCTTCACTCCAGACTTTGAATACTTGGCCCCAGGGACTTGCACTAGGGGCAAGGGTACCAATCTTGATTACTTCAACATTACTGTCCCTGCGGACTATGTTCCACCGCAGGTCCTTTTTAAATGCTTTCTCGTGGCGATAGTTATTACGACGTTCAACATTATGCATATCATCAAATATCGAACGGAATTTTGATATCAAAATATCATCTGAATTTTGATTTTGTTGTACATAAGAACTATGCACAGTGTATAAAATAATAATGAGTATGAAAATAAATAATTTTAAATTTACATCCATTTGTGTTGCTTTCATCAAACTATAAGTAGAAAAAGCAATCATTACCTCACGTTAAAACTTTCAATAACACACACATCTAAATTGTAAAATACGAAAGTACTTTGTCTGAAAACAAAATATTATTTTATAATAAGAAAGAAAAAGCTTTCATAATTGATCCATAAAAGCCTTTGAAAATATGAATAAAATGCGGTTTTTATCTATTTAGTCCTTCATTTGTTGGTAGTCGTATCTAATAATGGAACCGTTTGTGATACGAGTTACAAATTCGAACTAAATCTTGTGTGAAGTATCAGAATAGGATTTAAACTCATAAATATAAAACGTTAGCTGCAGCTAACTTCTCCATTGAAAGATGTGACTTTTCAATATTTTCGATTTTATTTGCACTAAACTCGTCAGTAAGCTGTGCAAAATGATGTTTTTACAATATCACCTAAAATGAAGACGAAGTTTCACAATCGAACAATAGTAAAAAAGATATTTCCTACACAAAGTGTAAGTAAAACTGTCCAATTTTTACAATCAGTCATTGAGCAATAAAGATTATCAGATGTGAAACAAATGTCCATTGGCTTCTCAATTTTCTCGCGTATTTCACTGATGATTTTAGCCTTTACGAATTCAGACTTAATAAGATTTTTAAATTTAAGTACAAAGAAAATAGTGGATTAGCTCTATGCGTTCTACAGTAATCGATCAAAATTGCTCAAGTTTCAGCATCGACATAGTACATTAAATATTGCCGTCTAAGACGACAGACAGCTGTTCAATTTTATGAGCGAAAGAGAAACAGTAAATAGTCTAAGCATCGATTCTTTTCATTCCAGTCCATAAGTACAGAAATATTCCACATTTAGGCAATCAATGCTTAAAAATTCATAGACTACAAAAATCTTTATACGACATGTAATTTACCTTCCAGTTCTATTCGAATGTAAGACGTGTATGTTGAATGAATGATATTAATAACAGTTATTCAAATAGGTAAATGCACAGAAGAAGAAGATACTTTCTCTCTCTGCGAATAATTGTTTTTCAGATATATTATGAATTACCTGTTAGAAATGATTTAACATTCGTTATTAGAGAGAGAAAGAAAGACTGAATTGTAAATGTAAAATGTTTATGCGATCAAAAAGGAATATATGAATTTTTTTGCTTATTCTTTTGTCATTAATTTGTAAACTTTGTATTCTTTTATTTCTATCGACGAGTTCATGATC